CGGTTTTGTACCCCTCACAGGACTTTATTCGAAGAAATGAAGGCTTTAACAGCGATGAAAACCCGGTTGATACTGGAAAAGTTCAAGCCGTTTCTGGTACTCTCTGGTTTTTATGCGTTTTGTGCTGTGTAACAGCAGTACAAAAAGCATATTGTCAGGGGCTGTCTGTGTGTGTGTGTGTTTGTGTGTGTGTGTGTGTGTGTGTCCGCAGCAATTTGTCCGCAACTTTCAAATCGGGAACCACAAAAGCTAGGAAGCTGAAAATTTAGGTGAACGTTCCCCACTCACGTGCGACCCCGTAAATTTAAATTCAGTCTTCCCGTACCCGCGAGTAACGCGTACGGTACTGTAAAACCCTGGGCAGGTAAAATTATTATCAGGGGAACTACAGAAGCTAGAAGGCTGAAATTTTGTGGGCATATTCCCCGCTCGTGTGTTACCCAGAAAATTTAAATTTAGCTTTCGCATGTCAGTAGATAACATGTACGGCTCCGTGAAAGTTTTTGACGGGTAAATTATTGTCTCGGGAACCATGAAGTCTAGAAAGTTGAAATTTTAGGGTGTGACCCCCTGCCCACGGACGATCTTGCAAATTCAAATTTAGCGTTCTCATGCTCTCGGGTATCACCTACGGGCCAGTGAAAATTTTTGCTTGTAAATTATTATCTCGGGAACCACAAATCCGTAAGACTGAGGTAATGACTCCTTACCTACGTACGACCTTACAAATTGAAATTCAGCGTTCCCGCTCTCTCGGGTATCACTTACGGCCTCATGAAAATTTTGAGGGGTAAACTATTATGTCGGGGATCACGGAAAGATATTTATTTTTCAAGGTTTCAAATTCAGCTTTCCTGTACCGATGCGTAAAATTTTTAGCTGTTTTCCAATTTGAACTGTTTTTGCATAGACTAAAATACAAAGCAGTGAAAATCATTAATAGGCAATCGTTCGGTGGGCGGAATTGCACAAAATGCATGATTGCACCGGCTAGTCTGGTGCACGTTGCTATTTATTTATTTATTTATTTTTTTTTTTCAGGAGATGCCATCGAAGCCGCGTGTGGACAGGCTCAAGATATGCTACACGGCGGCGATGCATCTGAACGATGGCTGGCGCATCAACGGTTTCCCGAGTACGCCGTTCAATAACGCTGTCACAACGTACATCCCGCAACTGCATCGCTTGACCATTCGATTTTGCCGCAAAAATGAGTGCAGCGCCGGCGTGAGGGATTTCATCGCCCAAGGCCTGTTGGCACGCTTCGCCGCCCAAAATCCATCAGTGGTCGTGTACGTGCAGCCGATCAGGTAAGTATTACAGTATGCTTTGAACACCTACATTTCATGGATTTGCTCACGTAGGCATGTCCAAGGGACGGAGCGAAAGGACCCTTTTTGTGCATATCCGCCTACCGAACAGTTGCTTATTAATGGTTTTCACTGCTTTGCACTTTGGTCTATGCAAAAATAGTTGAAGTGCTGAAAAATAGTTCAAGAAAAATTTCACGCCTGGCACGTGGAAGCTGAATTTGAAACCTCGAAAAGTGGATATCCTTCTAGAATATCTCGTGATTTTCTGCTTTTCGAATGATTTCTGAGACAAAACATTCACGTGGTCGAACGTGAGACATTGGCGCACTTACGTAAGTGAATTCGAGTTTGTGAAGCCCTCGCTTAGGCAGGAAACATTCTCCTGCCTTCCAACCCTTCGGGCTGCCGAAATGATTTTTCTCGCCCAAACATCCGCGGGGACTTTGAAAATTTCGAAGTTGTACGTGGGCAGGGGATACCACACTAAAATTTCAGCTTTCTAGCTTTTGCACTTCGCGAGATAATAATTTCCTTAGCAAAACTTTCACTGGATTGTACGTGGTATCCAGGAGTGCATGAAGGCTGAATCCAAATTTGCTGGGGTGTACGTTGACAGCGGACATCCCCTTTGTGACGATGATTATAAGCAAATTAGTGACGGCTTCGGCTCCCTGGCATGCATTAGCACTAATTTATAATCACAATGAACGAACGAATCATAGAGAGAATGATAGAGGAAGTCGAACTCTCGACCTTTGGCGAAAGGCATAGTTACTTACCCCTGCGTCAATTAACCATAAACATAAAAAAAAAGCTTGGGAATAGAAACAAAATAATAAAACCTAAACGATTTTTATACAGTCACTTCGACATTTCCCATGTATGTCACCTCTAGCCTTTGGCGGATCCATGGGGTGGAGGGAGGTCTTTCGCGCCCCTCCCAGGAGCCCCACTTTCTTTCCTCCCCACCACCCCCTTTCCGGTCGTAGCCGCTATGAGAGAGAAGAGGAAAATAACCCAAATCGTCCCTTCCCCCTCCCCTTCCCCGGAAACCGCCATAGGCCCACTTATGCCTCCAGCAGTCGTTACTGCACCTTCACTTTCCCCGTCATTTGCATTCGCAGCTTTGGCACTTTAGCTAGTAAAGTATTTCTTCTGAAATGCATTCGAGGTAATCCGTTTTTGACTCGGAGTTGATGTCGAGTTTCTGGGTGGCTGTGGTACCTTTGGTCATGGCTTCACTATCTAAAGATGTCGTTTTCAGACAGAACATCCCGGTGGTACGCGGCGAATATGGCAATGGACGTATCATCCAGATTGTCCTGAAGAATTTTGACGCTGTACAAGTGCAAAGACATCTGAATTTGTTGCGTACCCGCAGTGGTCTTCCGGTGGTCAATCTGGTCTCGCAACAGAGTGCCGCTGTGCCATCCGTGCAAGGCATGTGGAATCCGATGCTGAACGTTGATACCGAAATGAATGTCACCAAACTGCCACAAGCGAAATTCTCACGTCATCGTAGTGCGATACCGTCTGCCACCGAATACATCTCGTCTCTTGTCCGAGAAGATACCAGCGAGGCACGGTGACGCAGTCACAGTGGTGTGACAGATTTCTTTTAGGCTAGTAGCGAGATGATGAATTCGTGTACAACTCAGGGTGTTCGATTTTCCGGTGTATTTTACATTGGCGTAGTTCCATAACTTGGGATATTTGAATAGGGCTGCTAATTTTCTCTTTTCTTTTCCATTAAGCACCGCAGCCGTCATACTGGCGAGGTGTTGAGTTAAGCGTATATGACTTAATGGACCGGAACGTCTTATCCCACTCTCAACTTCTCTCATACTGTTCTATCATGTTGCAGTTTTTTCGCGCCTTTACCATTTAGGCTTCCTAAGTCAACCTGGTTGCTACAGTTGGCTTATAACCCACCTGTCCATCCCGCAACTGGGAACATTTCCAGTAAATTTGACGAGTGTTTCATTACCTGATGGTCGACATGCTGAAGATCTTAACATTCGGTTTCTCCTTCCCAACGGGCTGCATGATCAACGTTTCTCCCAGCTGCATTTGTTTTGCGAAGCTTTAGACGCTTCAAAATATTTTTCGTCTGTGTTGATCACCACTGTGTCCTCCAGAACGTTTCTAGTAGTTATCGTTTTCCACCAAATCAATGCAGCGTTAATTTCTCCATCAAAGGGCTTTCTAACTGAGAGGTTTTCTGATTTCGGTGCAAAGTAAAGAGCACTTTATGTGAGCTCGATAGGCCTATTTTCTTGGACATACTTTATCCCTATTCCCCAAAATACTAAATGTCTTGTTTGGACTTATCATTTCTTGAGTAACTGGGATGGCGCGAAATCATGCAGCATGTCTGAGCTTAGGAA